AATAAATAAATCAGAACAAAAATTGAAATAGTTCAAAAACCTAACACATTTCAAATTCACTCTCAGTTTTATTACAACACGAATAACATCAACGACAACGACAACGACAATCACAATAATAATAACATGACGGTGATAAGAATGCCAGTGATAACAATAAACGACAGCAACTAGATCAAACAGATGGAGCAACATCATTGTGAGGAGATGGATTATTCGGTGACTCAAAACTGAGACCATTATTTTGAAGAGCGTTTCGTTTCTTTGACGGCGGTGGAGGTGCCAACTTCAGTGTTGCTCCTGGTGGACATTCAATTGCGTTCGTGTTCAAATACAAATGTTCCGAGGAATCTGTCTGAAAATTGAACGGATAACACTTAACACTGAATTCAATCAAATTTCATACATTTCACTTCGTTAATCAGTATTAACAACTGCTTTCTAACTTCCTAAGAGTAATCCACTGCAGAAATTTTATTTCTGTTCGAAGCAATTCATATCGAACGAACAAAACATAGATATATATCTTATCGAACAGATATCTGATATAACTCTAAGACGGAACCATTCGAACGATGAAATATTCGAGTCAATTTCGAAAACAAACCGATGGTGATGGGAAATTGGCGTTGATTGATGAAGTAGGACTAGACAGAACGGAGCACGGTGTTAGCGGAGTTGGAGTGACTGGTGTTCGAATTGAAAAACGTGAACCACATCGTTCGCGACGCTGCAAAAAATCATTTCAATTCATCATCTAGCCAACTTCAGGACGATTCAAAACGCATTCAATGGCAACTATACGTTTGCACTAATTGTCTAGTGCTGAACTAATTATAAGGCTTACAATGTGTCTTGCACTTGAGCTCATGCCTAGACTTTATTTTCGGACTGAATATATGCGAAATCGCGGAAAAAACGCACAGTGATTGGAATTATTCCTCAAGTGTCTCAGATACCATTACATCGTTATTCATTTTCATAAGTGCAAATAAGCAATTTTACATTCCAAATAGATGCAAACCAAACATAGATAAAATGTTAACGTAATCTCAAAATCAAAATTCATATCTCCTACACATTTTCTCAGTCACGAATAAAATGTTTGTTCATTCAATCATCAAAGATCACCAGCAACTTTCCAACATATAAAACATAAACAAGCATAATACAAACGATTTCCGATAATACCTCGATATCTTGCTGGTGGTTCAGTGAAGTGACATAACATGAGATTGCTTGATAAAGGAAACGATACTGTTGCTCGGTTTGAACCATTCCCGATCGTTGCTCACGTACCATTTGCACTGTTTTTGGGATATCCAACTGACAGTGCGTCCCTTCAAAAGCACATCATGACAAAACACATCGGACGATATTACCAACCATTCATCGTCGAAAATTTAGCTATTTAGAACCCAGATTTCTCAGAGGATGAAATTTTGAAGAACAAAAATATCACTGAGAAAAAATAAACTTAAGCAATAGAAAGAGGAGGACGTTAACGCAAACAAAACGCACCTATCCTTTTGATTTGATTGATAAGAATATCAATTACGATGAATGTGCCCGTACGACCAATTCCTGCGCTGAAATTACGTCAACGATTCAATCAATCATTCCGACAAAATGGCATCAATCTCCATAAAAAAGATTTCCTGACAACTATCACACACAGACACACCAAAAACGAATTTGCAAATGCACTGCCGAATCAAGTAATTAATTAACTGACTAATTAAGTAAGCTAATAACTGACAGATCAAAATGTGGAACAAATAAAATAAGTGAATGAGTAATTATGCACCTGCAATGTACAATAATAGGACCCGCTAAAATATCACCGCAATTTTGCGTCTCACATTCGTTGACTTTGGCCAAAAAATTCAACACCGTCCATGGATCTGATGGACAGCCGTGATCGGGCCAACCCAGAAATTGAAAATGCCATATCCGACGTTGCTCTCCTTCACCAATATCATCACAGCAATCACCGTTGTTACCTTTAAAATAAAAAAACTTTTCAATACGAAACAGTTGCTAACTTCATATTTGAAGCGAATAAAAAGTCAGTCAAAACGAACTAGTGCTGACGAAATAAACCAAGCGAATTTCAATTCACCTGAGTTGAGGACAGCAGACGACGGCGAAGAATTTCCT